AAGTCCTTACGGCCCTGGCTCCATTTCCATTCTGGGGAGCATCAGTCCGGTAACACACACACACGCTTCCTTCCGTCCGGCCGAAAGAACCCTGACCAGCATTGATTACTCCTGGCTGTTTGTTTTGTTTATGTTTGTATTACGAGCCTGCAATGTTTGTTTCCGAAATTTTTGACGACTTTGCTTGTGGTGATGCGGCGAAAACCCCCGAATTTTGGTCCTTCCAGTAACCATCTCTCGCCCCTTGGGTTGCTTAACCACCACACCTCAAATTGACGCCCCAGTGGGCTCTTCAAGCAAAAACTCGGTCCCTAAGTGTGGTCAGTACTCATAACGTTCGGGTAGGCGGAATGCACCCAAGGCCTTTATCAGCTTAGGATTTGCAAATCCTATCAGGAACAAGTAACTCCAGGAGCTATGGGTGCAGGAGAGAAGAGTTTCAATCTCTCTTTCGAAGGCTACCCACAACTCCATTGGCTGATTGATTGTGCCTTGGCCATCTGTGCTTCAGAGTTCAAATAGGATGTTCACACTGGTGCCTCAAACAAAATCCCTACGCAGCCAGTGGTTGTGCCCCTGTTTGTGGCCTCATCGCTTTGCCCTCTGCCTAATGCATTTGTAAATGTTGTGCGTGGATAGCTGTTGCGTGGAGTTGAGCACTGGAGCGCTCCTGGGGCAACCACTTGGCAGTCTGTTGAAGCGAAGCTTTATGTGATTCAGCTGGTGAGTTGGACTGTTCTGTACTCTTTTCGTCATGATTTTAATAAGATTGAAAATCGCTCCTCTCACCGTTCATCGGCATCCTCATGCGCAATGAGGAGATGTAATTCCACCATCCCTGTCATTTTTATTTTTATTTTTTTGAATTTGGACCATTTCTCGATTTATTATGTGTGTTATCCTTGCGCAGGGGCCATGCTGATCTTCTCTGTATCGTTCCAAAGTTAATGGATGTCCCGAAGGACACCACCACGTCATTTTTATATGGTTCGTTTGTTGTTTTCGTCAGGTGTTTGGGGGGCGGGAGGGGGCCTTCAGCTCACTTTTATCTTTCTATATGGAATGTAGGCTTAATTTGAACTTTCTTGGTATCGCAGGTTGTTGAGGAGGTACTGCTTGATGGCCAGCACCCAGCAGAGCTTGTTCCTCTTATGCAGTTTATAGTGTCCCTGCCTTCGAATCCTCTCCCTGTCCCAGATTACGCAGTGCCATTGGTAAGCAGTCTTCCTCAGTGTACACCTTTTCGTAGTTGTAGTGCCTTGCTCTGCTGAAGAATCAGCCCTGACATTTTATTTGGTGTGGAATTAATAATTATCAGTGTGATGATTTTATCAACTTATTTCGTCTTCTTGTTTTTTTTTGTGTTGTAACTTGTAATGTAAAAGGGTGTCATGCATTTCTGCGGTTAAGTCCCTCGTTCAGTCCCAGAATTCCCAAGGTTTGATGTCCCATCTATCATAGTCCCATCTATCATAGTCCAACCTGTAGACCCTGTGGTATTAGTTGTAGGGTCTCTAGGGTTTGTCTGCACAAGTTTCTGCAACTGTCCGGTATGTTGTCAGAAATCCTGTCGGCAACAAAAATGTCCCCAATCGAAGGAATCTCTGATACATAGAGGAAATGTCAAACAACCAAGGACAGAAAGGTCAGGTGCCGGTTACGAAAAGTCTGAGACGGAAGCTGTAGCAAAGTACAAAAGCACTGCTACAGTGTAGCGTCAACACAATTTCCACGAAGCTCTGTCTTGAACGCGCTACTCTATGCTTGTGCAGCCAAATGCCTATCACGACTTGGAAGGGGAGACGCCAAGTAGGGTAGTTGACCTCAATGGGTCCATAGGTAGGGCTTGTGAGTGAGGGCTGAACTCCACACGCCGGTGGTGAAGCAACTTATGGGCCGTGCCATGTGGGGATTTCCCGTTTTTCTAGTTGCCCAAACTGCAAAGGAGACCCGACTGCCACGACGCATATCTGCTTCTACAACAGAACGGCTTTCCTCTTAAGAAAAGCAGAGCTTTCCAGTATCCAAAAGGGAACATGACGTGAGATGCAAGTGCAGTTTCGTTTTGGTGACATGAGATGCAAGTAATTTTGTTTTGGTGACGTGAGATGCAAGTGCAATTTTGTGTTTTGGCTCATTTGTTTTGTTTGCTGCTCCACTTACTGTGCTCCCCGCAACCCCGAACTGCTGGCCGCCAGACAAGGACACTGTGAAAGTGAAACGGCATCCGATCCCTTGCTTTTACCAAGTGAAAATAGTTGCACTGCTCATGTCCAGCCGGGCAGTCAGCACTGTCGGTTCTCATGACTGTATCTGCCTGGACCTGTGTGGGGTCCAGCCCTGAGAGAGAGAGAGAGAGAGAGAGAGAGACAGAGAGAGACCGACAGACAGACAGACAGACAGACAGACAGACAGAGAGGAGAGAGAGAGAGAGAGAGAGAGAGAGAGAGAGAGAGAGAGAGAGAGAGAGATGCCAGTGAGGACA